GTTTCGACTTCCTGCGCCCATGAAAACCACAATTCCGAGTTTTTTTTCGTGCTTTCCCCAAAGCAAATAGCAACAATTCATCGGAAAACGTGTTTTCTGGCTTAACATGCGCCGAACAATGCAAACATATGTGTGTGTGTGTGACTATGTGTGTGTGTGATCATTGTCCTTCACATCACACACTCGTTTGACCATTGCCCATCCAGAGCCCATGCGTATGTGGCGGCGCCCTTGAGCATTATGCCCAGCCAACTCATCCTTTCGCTTGCCATTTCGCTCATTATCAAGAGCAACAACAACGACATGCGGTGGACACACGAGTTAGCGTTCGCTCGTTTTTTATTTTTATTTTTTTTTTTGTTTTTGTTATTGCGATTACATTGTGTAGCATTGTGAATTATGTGTATTGACCACACGATTTGTGGTCRCCAAAGCCCACGCAACCACGTTCGCATGTGTCGTTTGTTGTCGCTGGCATTTCGTTGTTGTTGTTGTTATGCTGTAAGCAATTGAAAGTTGCACATTCAACATTTTCGCAATATATTATTTTTATTTACTCGTATTTTATATTAGTGGCATTTTTTCGACTCACTCGCACTGTTCGCAATTTGGTTGTAGTGCTTGTGTGTATGTATGTGTGTAGTGTAACTCTTAAGGGACCTCGGATGAATTAAAGTTCGTGTTTTATGTATTTCAATAACCTTGCGTTTCGTGTTCTACGTGTTTTTATTGTTGTTTTTGCTTGTCATCGCTCTTTTCGGGAACAACTTTCGAATTATTCATGGCCAAGCAGGCGCTCAGACATATACATAAACAAACACATCTTCTATCCCTGCTTTATATTTATGACTTTTGAGTAGAGTTTGAGCGATAAGCTATTGTTATTGCATGTCTACATACCCTGTAGGAAAATCGAACTCACATGACAGACATTCTWTTCGTAGAACTATTGAGCCATATATTTAACGTAAGTCGCTGTTAAGAGCACTTATGCCTCGAAAGTAGGAGCAAGCTGAGCAGTAGTGAAATAAAAGTCTTTCACCTCACCRTGSTGAAGTCTYTGAACTTTTTTAATGTAGTATTTTMAAAAATTAGTTGTTAGYGTAAAATAATCGAAAGCTTTGCAAACTAGTGCCATAATCTGTAAAAATTTGAATTTAGAGAAAAATTTTATATAAATTTCAATACTTACCACACTAAGTTTTTTTTTTAATTCATTTAAAATATACTATATTTCAGTAATAMTAATCGCTATGTTCAACCAAATTTTTATATTTCGAGCTGAAACCAAAAATTTTCACCACACTTGGTTTTTCTTATTACAATTAAATATTWTTGATTTAGTATTACTAATCGCTAGATTAAATGAAATTTTTATGTATCGTAGTAAAGCTGTGTAAGTATTTGAATTATAAAAATATATTTCTATAAAATTCAATACTCACCACAATTAAATTTTTTCGAAGCAAAACTTATAATTTAATTAATTTTCTAATATTCGCCACACGAAAAAAAAATTTGGGACAGTTGATATACATAAATAATCGAAATCTTTGCAAACTGGCACCGGCATCTATGTCAATATTTGAATTTAAAAAATTATTTTATATAAATCTCTAAACTCACCACACTTGTATTTTTATAAAGCAGTGTCAATATTTCAATAAAATAGAATGGTTAAACGAAATTTTTCTGTTTCGAATTAAAACTCATACAATTCAACAAATTTACAATATTCACCACACTAAATGCTGTTTTCATTTCTCCATTAAATTTGCAGATGTCTTAGTAAATGTCCGAAAATTATATTATATTATATATTATAGTGAATGGAATTAACCGCATCTTAACTTATAATGTATTATCTTAGTTTGTATGGACGGCTGTACCAACCGTAACCGCAAGGCTCCTAAAATTTACTTCGTTTCCGTTGACATTTTTTATTAGTAATATAATGAGTAGGACAGAACGTCTACACTTTTTTTGAGTATTTGTGAATCCACTTCGCTGTGCTGAGGACGAGTTCAAGAAAATTTACCAAAAAAMTCTCTTTTCCTAGAAGGCTTGTATCTATAATTGACTGTGGTATTGCAAGAAACTCTCTTTAAGAAAATTAGTCTGGCTCAAGCATGTCCAGAAACGAAATCCAGACAAATCCAGTAACGATATTGCCTAGGATGCACAAATCAGCCGAAGAAGAGACCAACTCGCTCTAAGCTGGAGAAGAAATTTGCACAATGAAATATTATAGATCCAAAAAAGTTAGAGCCTAGCACAAAATCTAAATTATAGCCCTTTGCATCCACGCGGAGCCATAGCTTGCAATATTATATTCTAGGATAATTTTAAAGTGTAGCTTCAACAAAGTACTTGAAAATCACAACCTTCATTTTGAGCTTAAGTATAGTATGTAAGTTCATATTATATATGTATTCCAGACAAACGTCAGTTCTAAAAGACAGACTTAACCTATTCGCAGTCTCATCTTTTGCCTATTTTCCATATTTTCCTACATGGCTATGATCTGTACGGATAAGTAAACCGTTGCGTACATCTTTATATCAGTTGCCATGTGTTACTCTTGACGGGTTTCAAGTGTCAATAGCCGTTTTAGAGCAGCAAGGCTGTTAGATATTTATGAGCTGATGAAGTACTCCACAGAAGAGATGAAATAAATACAAATCTATGAGCATCAGCACATAAAACTTTAATCTTGTCAAGAAGGAAAAGCACTGCTTACGTCTACGAAAAAGAAATATAATCGAAGAAAATGTCTATCGGAGGGAGTAGCTCACACCTCGCCATCAGTCAGAAACCGACATTCGAAAAARGTTGCGCTCTTGTGCAGTTGACTAGAGGGGTGATTGTTGCAATAGCTCATGAAAAGAGAGYATAGTTATTGTCATATAATTCTTCAATGTCGCAAAACCTATTTGGATTTGTTTTATTATATCGCCYTATCCGCTTCAAACGGGCTGGAATGGATGAATGAAGTTTAACGTGTTGCGTGTTGAGTAGTGAAGAAGTGAAGTGAAGAAAAGCATAGTTAAATGGGTTAAATTGCACTGCGACTCGTATTCTATTGTACTCTCTGCTGCTCTTACAAAACTTCTTTTAACTCAGTCAAAGCAAAAAGGCTTAGTAAAGCTCTTGTAGGACAATCCAGGAGTATATGCTCTGATGTCTCTGTACTTTGGCCACCAAAAGYGTCAGAAACAACCTCGTTTTTCGAAGCCTTGGAACTTGCTAGTGTCGACCTCTACAGTCACTTTCTGCTCTCGTAATGTGTAGGGGCCCACAGCAAAGAACGGTTCCACTCCTGTCAGACTGGTTGCCTCACCGCTTTCACCAGAAGATCTCCTCAAGGATGGAGTCCTCTCATTTTCTTTTGCAGTCCAATGAGACTTGGAATACCTCTTCAAAAAGATTTAATAAAAGATTGATTTTAATATATTATCAACAAAGTTATGTTGGCTTAACGCCTAACTTGTTGTACTCAAGCCAACTTCGAGATTTTTAAACTTGCAATATCAGTGAAAATTAAATGATTACTAGAACTAAGGTGATTCGAACTTTATCGAAAGTAAGGAGTTTAATGAACTTCATCTAATTCACATTTATTCAAAAAGACAAAATTAATTTTTTTTTTCTGAGAGTAATCATCTGATTTTTCTCCAAGTGTTCGCGAAAATAAATTTGAAAGATTTAGGTTTAAGAAAAATACGTTTAAGTATCAATTGATGAAGGTGACTGAATTGAATGGTTTTGCTTTAGAAGGTAGTGACACAAAAACTATTTGAGTTTTCGATTTAAAAACCTTGGTGTGTGAAGTTTATAGCCCGCAGAAGGGCACACCGGTCAGCGTGTCGAGCTGAGCGGTGCCAAGTCCTTCTATATGTCCTATTGTCACTACGATTTGGAGATACTGATCTGAAATCTTTCCCACAGCTTACTAACTCTAAGAAGAAGATTTGTCGGAGCCACCGATATCAGGATACTATACCAAATAAGTTTTATACAAACTGAACGATCGGAGTGAAGTGCTTGGAAGGAAAACTTTTAAATTTGATGAGATATTTACACTAAATTTGGCATGGTTTATTCTTCAAGATAATGATGTAATCTCCAAAGGAATTTTTCAGATCAGTGCAATGCAACATATAGCTGCCATACAAACCGGTCGATCAAAATTTAGTTCTTGTATAGAAAACTTTTTTATTTGACAAGATATCTACACAAAATTTAACGTGGATTGTTATTTGATGAAATGCCATAATCTCCAAAGGAATTGTTCAGATCGGTGCAATACAACATATAGCTGCCATACAAACCGGTCGATCAAAATTTAGTTCTTGTATGGAAAACTTTTTTACTTGACAAGATATCTGCACAAAATTTAACATGGATTGTTATTTGATGAAATGCCATAATCTCCAAAGGAATTGTTTATATCGGTTAATTATAGCGTATAGCTATCTTACAAATTGAACGATCAAAGTCAATTTCTACTTTTGAGAATTTTTTTAACTTATTTATTTTATTTTATTTTTTTTTTTGTTTTGTAATAGAATTTTTTTTTTTTTTCAATGTCGCAACTATCGGTAGTTGGAAACATATATTGCATTTCTTTAATTTACTGTCCAATTCCGTCAAGGCTAAAACACATTTTACTCTAACTTGCAATCTGAGCCTCAGACAAGCGTTTATACTTACGCAATAACAGTTACGCAGTGATTTCTATTTTTATTGCACTTTTATGTGTCAATCTTACAATCGAGCTGCGCAAACAAACACACGCACACGCACACAGCCATACTTTACTTAATAGTATTTACTTTATTTCGCATTTTTGCGCCACCAACTACTTTTTTCCAACWAACTTGCAGTGTCGTGTATGTTTTTGCCACTCCACAGTTGCTTTAGCTATACACAAGCGCAAGCGTGTAAAACATATTTATTTCGTATATGTTGAATATGAAATGACTTAAGCATACACTTACATGCAACCCTTAGGAACAGTCATATTCAGGCCATCCAACACGACATTCGGATTTTTGCTATTTCCATACATTTTATGCGCCCGCCGCACGCATACCGCCTGCTGTCGTCGCGCAGCCAATGTTGACGGTTGTGTCTTGAAGAGACGACGTCGCGTAGCTAAATCCGTTTCGGTGCTTGTCACCTCGACTATGGTGTTATTGGGTGGCAGACCCTCCGTTTCAGCATCCATTTTGCTGCTGGCGTGTGTTGTTGTTGCTGTTGTTATGCTGTGCTCTTTGTTGTTGCTTGTTTACKCGTATTTCGGATTTTTCCACGCTAGTTCACTGTGCTTTATTTTATTTTATTTATTTTTTCGTTTTGTTTTTCTTTTGTTCTTTGCTGGCGGTGTGTTGTTGTTATCGTTATTTTTGTTGTTTTTTTTTATCCTTTTTTTTGTGTTGTTGCTATCGCTATCACGCGCTGTGCTTCACTCTTGTCTACGTCACAACGTCTTTTGCGCCCCTAGTGCTGCGCTGTTTGCTACGCGCCTCTCGTGCGCTGCGCGGTGCGCCGTGTCGTATACGCAACACTTGTTTAGTTGTGCATATATGGTTKTTGTKTCGATGTGCGTTTGATTTGCACACTGCGTCGTGTATCGCTTACAGTTGTTATTTTTACTGCTGCGCGTATAACGGTTGTTATGTTTATTGCTGTCAGCAGCCAGCAGCCGGCGCTGCGTTCAATGCTCTTCAAAACTGCTGCCAGTCGACCTTCGTTCGTGCTGCACGTTGGCGCACGCGTTCGTCTGGAATGTGAGCAATGTTTTGTTGCTGTTGTTGTTGTTGTTGTTGATTTTTTGCTTGTATTCTTGTTTGCTATCGTATTTTTGCTGTTTACGGCGCTGCCTCTGCAACTTTGCTGCAAATGTTCGCCTGCGTGTGCGTGCTTAATTCACTTGCGTTGCATGTCCTCTTACAGTTACAATTTTCCTTACTACCCAGGCAATTCTGTCACACACACTTTTCTGCACTGTTGCAGCGTCACTTGTGTCGCTGGTGTGTGCGTCGCTTTACAGTTATCGCACTTTTACCGCTTCGTTATTGTCGCCGCCTGTGCTCGCCGCGCCAAATGAATAAGCGCGCTGTTGCTAGTTTACTGTGCTACGCCAGTGTTTATGTCACTCTTAAAACAACAACAAAAACGTTAACAATATGTGTGCAGTTGAGTCGATTCTCCCACTGCGTGCGGCTCGCAATAATTCTTGCGTGTTTTGTGGCTGTTTTTGTTGTTTTAGCTGCTGTTGTATGTGTTTGCAATGTCTTTGCGCCACACAATGTTGCACATTCAGCAGTGTTGCCTTCTTGCTGCCACCGCACTTTGCTCAGTCGCTGTTGCTTGCTACAACTCTTTCCTATATTTCTTTCGTATAGTTTTCGTTGTTGTTTYAGTTATTGTTGTTGTTGCTTTGCACCACCCGCCGTGCGTCTATTGTGTCGTCAAGTGTTACAATTGATGTTAAGCAGACCAATTCCGTGCAACGTTGCCGCTTGCTGATAGTTGTCGCGCAGCCTGGCCGTATTGTTTTTGTAATGGGACTGKGGTAGCAGCGACTTTCAGAAACTAGTAGTAGTGGTGATATCGCAGCAATAACTGTAAAAATAGACTGCAAGTGGAAAAACCGTTATTTCGTTGCTTTCGCTTGCCGCTTGGGGCGCTTGCGACTTGACTCTTGTCGCTACTGATTTATATAACGGTTCTTAAATGCATATATGCGCATATATAAACATARATTTATACAAATATGCGTTTGCTTGTATATGTCTTCATTTAACGGCACTTATATATATATATGTGCACATGTGTCTGTCCACTGGCCGCCTTCATGCGCCCTCACGGCTATTCATTCAATTYTAGCTGAATTCTATTCACCCTCCGGCTGTTGCCTGCTAGTTTTGTTCTTGTTGTTGCCACGATCGTTTTRCTAGTATCATTCTATGCTTTCTAGCTGGCTGCTTGGCTTGGCGTTTGTCTGCAATGAAATACAAAGGGAATAACGGTAAATAGAGTAAAATATCGAAATTGCTGTACACACTTACACATACTATAAATATGTGTGTGTGTGTGTGTGTGTATGTATGTGTTCATAGTACGTAAGTATGTACGCGTCTAGCAGGATGATGATAATGTGTTAAGACAAGCTTTATTATTCATAAAAATTAAGCTATTGAAAGTTGTGGCGACGCGTGTTTATAACGGTTTCATTGCCGAACACACAAAACGTGTGCTTGTGTAGCCACTTTATGCAAAATATTTTCATCGCTTGTTGCGACCATTGGAATCCGCTGTGGGCACTAAAACACTGAGAAGAGGGAGAGAAGAGCTTCTCTAAAAATCATTTCAGCTTAGAACTTTGTCAAAGAAGAAAAAAAAAACAAGGAGATGCAAGCAAAATTTTCTTTGATGTGAAATGAAATGAGCTTAAGATTTGAACACGCCTTGTGCCATAATTTCCATTTTATAATTTTTTTTTTTTTTTTTTTTTTTTTGGGGTAAATTATTGGCGCGTTTGACATGTGAGTAGCTTCTTGGATAGAAAAAGGACAGGAGAAAAAATGCTCACTGATATCTCAAAAACTGTAGGACTATTTGGCATATATACAGACGGCTGAATATAGCGAAAACGATTCAGTTCATCAAGCTGAATATTAATATAGTTAAATTATATATTGGTATATTATGTGGGCTCCGGGGCAAATTAAAAACTTCGTGGCAAACTTTATACACTCTGCTCAGGAAATAAGAAATTAATTATATACGAGTAAATCCCAGTTCTAAGTAATCTACTATCAAATCTTAAGTCTGATATCATATTGTTTGAGAAAATKAAACGAAATGTAAACGAAAATTATATAAAATGCTTATCAGATGATATTTTGTTCTATAACCTATTATTTCATTATTCATTTTTTGATTGTTAAGTTCCTATACGGATAGCTTCATACTCACAAATATTTGAATTCACTTGGAATAATAAGAATACGCAAAATATTTAGTCRTTGTAAAAAGTAGTCGACTAAATCCATAAAATTTTGTTGCACAGATTGTGAAAYCATTCTGAGGATAAAGAGGTTAAACCGAGATGCTGTTTGGCTATATTTGAGGACAGAGACAAGAAAAATTGCAGTAATTTGCTACAATGGATGATAAAGTTATGTGTAGAAGTTCATGCAAGTGCAGAAAAGATCTCTAATTGCCATTCACTTGGGAGTGGCCAGAAACGTTTCTTTTACATATGACTCAAGCAACACACGACTTTCGGTCTTAGATCAAGTAGCCTCTGGGCAGCCAAAGAATATTCGTTTGAAGGCGTCAGTAAAGAAAAAGTTTACTGGAATATCGGTTACTAAACTTAGTTGATCAGTATTAAACTTTCGCTGATACCGTTTGGTTCTCTTTTTTACGTCTATTTGCTCTTCGATTAGAAGAAACTGAAAGTAAAAGTATACAGAGATTCCACTTTGATTTTAAAATAATTTTCCCATTTTAAGAAGTCAATTAATGCTTGAACTCTTATGTTACAGCTACTTTCTTAAACTCGTCATGAATTTATAAGACCAGGAGYTACTCGATGTTATTATATGTGAGTCGTGAGAAGTTTGAGAACTTTATTAACTGAAATTCACTTCTGGAGTATATTGGGAAACCTTGTTGATCTTGCCAAATATATAATACCTAAATTTCAAATAACTCTGCCATTTAAAGTAGTACATAAATTACAATTTTATTTGAATTCAAGTATATACCGCTATTGTTATGGAAAGATCATTAAAGAGCTGCATTTTTAATCCACATGACAGAAATTATGAGATCATTAATTGAAGTCAGGAAGTTCATCGTGTTTTTTTTTTTTTTAATACAAGAAAATGGAATTTGATCAGTTGACCACTAAATGGATGTATTTTAGCAAAACTTTGCAAATTCGAGTAAATAATAATTGAAATAGCAACCT